CTGTAGTTTATTGAGCTTTCTAAAAGAATGAACAAACTGTCTAAATTTACCAGTAAAAGATTAGCAAGCTGGTTAAAGATATCCTGGCTCATGACTGTTAGAAATTATTAAATATTGTTAATTAACATGGAGACAAATGATCAAATATTAACAAAGATTAAAAATCATCAAAATCATTTAAAATCTAAGTATGAATAGATACTTCATTATATATTCCAGTGATTTGAAGCACTTAACTTTTTAATGTTATATTTGTTTGTCTAATAATTGAAGTGTATCTCATTATTATTACTTAAATTTCAAAATAATCTCAAAGGTGTTTCAGTTGCTTCTCAGTGTATTTCTTGTTTATAGTCAATTTTGCTTTTTCTGTATCTTCTTTCTAATTATTATTTAGGTATTTAAAGTTAAGGTGAACTAACCTGGACATGGATGATGTAATTGATCAACTGGGTCTTTCTAAAAGACACAAAAAATTTAAAAATAAAATAATAACTTAGTAGCATGCAACTTTTTACTAACTATTCTTATATACCCTATTTCACATGATCATTATGCCACTCTTGGATGTTATGTATTACGATAAAACCCTGAGCATCTCACCACTGTTTTCTACGAAAAGGTTAAACTCAGAAATAAGAGAAAACTCTCCTTCCTAAAATCTCAGAGAAAGTAAAGCATAAAATCTTTTCTAGGCAATGAAGAGATTCAAAATCACTCTATTAACTGCTTAATTAATCAGACTTCAATATGTGCTAAGCATCTAGAATATGTTTAGCACTGTACTAACCTGAAGGTATAAAAAGTCAGAAAAGACAAATTCCTTTCTTCAAGGTTTTTATGATCTCGTCAGGAATCATAAACAATGACAAAAGTAAAGAAGAAAACAAATAATTGAAAACTTAGAATATTAGATTGAAAGGCATGATGAAGACGTAAAAATAAAAAGGGATTTTGGCGAACATTTCTTAGAGCAAGGGAGTATTTTTTCACCAAGTTTTGAGATAGGAAGGAATGTGATAAGTTTTGTCCATGGTCAATCAATATTATTATTGTTATTATCACTTATTTCACAAATGTGAATATTTCTTTTTCCTTTCAGGGAATATGCTATTGAGTGTTGAAATACTTACCACTTAACTTGTGTACTCCATATAGCTCCAGATATTTACAGAAAGAATAACAACTTTTCCAAATGGAGCTTTGGTTAATCTTATTTATTTTATTTTTGGGAGAGGAAGATTGGCCCTGAGCTAACATCTGTTACCAATCTTCTTCTTTTTGCTTGAGGAAGATGGTCCCTGAGCTAACATCTGTGCCAATCTTACTCCATTTTGTATACAGGACACAGCCACAGCATGGCTTAATGATTTGTGCATAGGTCCGCACCCAGATCCGAACCCGCAAACCCCAGGCCATTGAAGCGGAGTGCACGAATTTAACCATTATGCCACCGGGCCGGCCCTAAATATAGAATAATAACTTTTCAAAATAGAGCTACAGTTACTCTTGTTTTTTAAATAAATCATTTGTTAATTGACAAGAACGCTTCCCAAGGAACATATGTCATCAAAGCATTATCTCCCAGACAGAAAGGTAAAGTTCAGAGTCACATTTGTTTTTCCCAAAATAACGAAGCTATGACAAACAATCTGAAGATATATTAATGCTCATTAAACCAGCACCAAATGGAATGTTTTCCCCTTGAGACTGGGAAGTTGATATTCCAAATGTTTAATAAAAATGGGGAGGATTTAACCTAAGAACTCTGTAAAAGCAGTCAACACAAGCTGGGCCACAGAGATACCTGCCAATTCCAAAAGACATCTTCAGAAACACTTTCAGGTCTGTGATAAACCTTTTGGTAGTTCACAAACGCCCATGCAATGGAAAGAGAACATTGTATGAAGAATAAGAACTAAGCACCATGAAACGTCCTGTCTTAATTTAACTCCAACCCCAAACAATGTATTTCCTAGATTTGGAAAAGAAAAGATGTGAGAGTAACCCAGCTCAGTGACTCAAGTTTAAACCTATACCCTATCATTGAAACAGTACATGTGCTTCCTCTGCCTTTGTAATTGTTTATATTCCTGACCTTCTCTGCCACCAAAAATAATTCCCAGTCCCACCCTTACCAACCCTCTCCACACACACAAAAAGAGATTAAATATTCAGTTTATCTTTGCGCATTTTTCCCATGAAAAACTATAAATCAAAATTCATTAAAGGCAATTCTATAAGAAGGCAAAAGAAAAGCCACATAATAATTTATCTCCTTTTTACCCTTCGTTTCTGCTCATGTTGATTATAGTTTGCTGATAATTCCAAAACACTCTGCATTGCCCCATTTTTTCTTGGTCTCCCTTCTCAGAGAGACAGCAGGAAGGTAATAGGAGTCAAATCATTACTCCTGCTAAGGGAATGGGCAACAGAGTCTTATAAAGGTAAACCAGTGGTGCTGAAATATGAAATAATTTTTTAGGTATTCAGGTCATGAAAGCAGTAAGTAGACTAAGGGAAACGTTACTAATCTCAGGAAATTTTCTCAACACAGCCATGGGGTTACCATTTGACAAAATATGTTTCTTTTGTTTTCATTTTTCCTTTAGAAACATTATTAAAGCCACTAATAATTCCTATATGGTACAATAAGAACTGTATAGATTATTAATATCATGTACACATGACTCATGGCCTACAGACTTGCTGGCGCAGATACATCCTCAACCATGGATCCCGTTTAAATTTGTGAGTGTTCTTCCCCTACAAATTATAATATACAGATACAGCGTCAACCTGATCTTATAAAGGTCATCCCCTTAAGTGAGGTCATGGAAAGTGGCCTGAAGTCCCTGAAAGGTGATCCACATCCAGGTAAAACAGTTCCAGTCTCGGCTTTGCCCCTCACTAGCTTGTATTTGGACACATCAATTCACACTTTTACATCTCATTCTCATCTCTAAAATGAGAAGAACTGCGTTGTCCACTCCCCTAACCATCAATACTATTTTTAAAAATTATAATTCTTGGTTAAGATTGCAAGGGCCAGAGCAGGACACCACACCCATTTCTAACTCTGTCTCTCTGCCTTTTTTCCATCCACAAAAAAGGAATGACACTTTGTGTAGTATTGTTGGGCATGTTAACGGTGATAACGTACAAAGCACATGCAATGCAATAACTGTTAGATAAATATCCCTTCCCTTCTCCACCAATTTTCCATTTCATAAATGGGCAAATTCCATTTGAAATGTTGGCAGTCCAGATCAGCACCGTCTTGTTGTCTCTAGGCTACCTCTTGACCCTGTTCTTATCTCTTCCCACATCACCTTCCTGTATTTCCTGGCCTTTCTCGTCCAAGGACCAAGGTCTTTTCCCATCTCCCTGACCTGGACCATCACTTTGTAGTCTGTTAGCAGTGGCTTCTCTGGCCAGCTTTAGCTGATCAGGCAAGCCTCAGCGACTCCAAGGCTGGACAGAGTTAAAGCAATTTCTGGCTGGGGCTGCTCACTTCCAATCCCGACTCTTCCCGCTCATCCTCCTAGCTGTCTGGCCTCGGAGCTGCGGGAGAAGCGAAGGCATCACTGGAGTGATGACATGTGGGTCTCTCCTTTCCCCAGCCTTCATATTTTTCTTTCCACGTGAGGAACCCAGAAAGCTCTGACCACACTTGCCCTGGCGGTTGCCATGGTTACACAATAGCCGCATCAGACCCAGAAGGGGTCTCGTGTCCTTTCCTCTACCTCCCTCTCAACGCTTTCCTGCCCGTTAGGGACCACCCCCCACCCCCCACAGACACACGCACAGTCACAGAAGAACCCTTTCCAGCTAAACTTGAGACAAAGTAACCCTCTGGGAGAAGTTTGGGTGGAAAACGAAGAGTCCTCGTGGGGACGCCTCCCTTTTATTACGGGTTCCCTCGGGGCTAAATGGCGGCAAGTCCGCCTATCTAGCTCGGGTCTCCCTGGCGAGGCACCCGGGACCTCCCGGTCGCAGTGGCGGGGCGCGCGCCGCCATCCAGGGCTCTCGACTCCAGGCTGCAGCGAGACGCGGCGGCTCGGCCTCCAGTCAAGTCCCCTCCGCGCGCTGGGACCGAGGCAGAGCACCTCAGTCCCCGAAGCCGAGCACAAGTCCGGAGAGCTGGAGAAGTGGCCAGGGTGGCCCGCGGCGGCAGCGGGCCGGAAGGGAACACCCGAGGGTCCAATTCCCAGGGGGATCGAATCCAGGCTTTTCCCGAGCAAGCCAAACCCAGGCTGCCAAGGGATGCCCCGCTCGGGCAGCGCTTGTTTGCAGGCACCACGCTTCCCTGCCAGCCAACGCTGGGCTGCCGTCCGACGCCAACTTTCCCCTCCGGCTCAGGAAAGAAGGACGCACGCCGCGTGCAGCCGGAGCGCTGCGATTCCCGCCCCAAGCAAAAGGCGTCGCCCGTGCCTCCCCAAAAGCACCACAACCAAACTAGCACCATGGTCTCCCCGTGCCCTTCCCCGGCCCACCCGGAAAGGGGCGAGCGAGGGCGCAGATGCCGTCGGTCGGGTCCTCCGCAGACGGCCTGTACCGAGACGTCGCCGAATGAACCTGCAGCCGGCGGAAGCCGGGGGGCTAGTGCAAACGCGCTCCCCGCCGCCTGCGCTGCGCCGGCGCGAAGGCGAGGGCGAGCGAAGTTCCTGGGCGCGCGAGGACGCAAACCGCGCGGGCCGGCAGCCGGGCTCGGGCGGGGGCGGCGAGGGGGTGGGAGCGCGCCCGGCCGCCACGCTGGCCCGGCGCCGCATGCCCGGCCCGCCGCCCCTCGGCGCACCGACCCCGCCTGGGCCCCGGCGCGGCCCCTCCGTCAGCTCCAGGGCGCTTTCTCCGTCCCAGGACGATTCCTTATCTCCCAGCCGCTCCGCATCCTCACTTCGGACCCACAGCCACCCCTAAATTCCGTCACCTCTGCTTACCACCGCGGTCCCCAGCGCGCCCTCCCACTGGAATAGCAGGTGACCTGAAACCAGCCTTACCTGCCGCGAACTCCTCACTCCCGCTCTCTCTGCCTGCTGTCCCTTCAGGGCGAGAGGAAGGGGATGCGGGCTGGGGGCGTGCGAGCAGCGACCCGGGCGCCGGCACGACTCCTCGGAGCCGCTGCGCTGCCTGAGCCGGAGCCGCCGGCGGCCCTGGCGGAGAGCGGAGGCTGCGCCGCCGAGGCCGGCCTGGAGGCAGGGGGCGCTGCGGGCCCCGAGCGAGCGCCGCGCCGGCCAGGCGGCGCGCCAGGCACCAGCTGAGCTGCGGGAAGGCGAGGCTGGCGCGGAGAGGCGCGCTCCAAGAGGGAGGGCGCCTTTTAAGTTTGTGGTGTGACCGCAGCAGCTGTCCGGGGAGAGACTCAGTCTTTCTAAAAAGGGGATGCTCCAAACGCCGGGGATTACCTCTCCCCTTCCGATCTCCACCCCCAGCCCTCGCCCCCCGCCGGCGCGCCAGCCCTCCCGGGCGTGCTTCTAGAAGGCCATCCCTGCTGGCGCGGCCACAGCGCAGATCACAGACAGCTCTGGGCGCGCCGAGGGGTGTTCCTCCGGACAAGGCACTTTGTCTGTAAAGAATCCTCTGCTGTTTGAGCCTGCGCCCGGGTGACTTTAGGACCTGTTTATTCTGTACCATAAAGTCTCTAAGGACCTGCGGGAAAAAACTGGACAGTGTCCTACAAATTTTGAGCCACAGATAAAGTAGCTATATTCCAGTATGTAAAACCCCGGTCCACTGTGACTGGCCTTGAAAGAGCAGACAGGAGGATGAGCGACAGAGATCAGCCCTCCTTTAAGGGGCTGGCACCAAGGAAGGAACAAACAGGGGAAAGAAAGAAAAAAATAACAAGGTGTAAGTCTTCTTTCCTCTTTACCTCATACCAGGCCAACAAGGATATGTCTTAGGAGGTTTCCTTTGTTGATGTGTACATACCTTGGTAATGCAACAGGAAACTTGGAAGTTTATGGGGACCAGAGTGGATCCACATTTTGAGGAGCCTGGAGCTTAGACAATTTGGAGATGGGATCCTCTTAAAGAAAATTATGCAGAAATAGCTTAATTTTACAGATTTTTACAAAAACATATGACCATGTGAATTCATTGTCGGGCTGCCATCAGGGTCATGGAAAGGGCCTGTGCAAGTGATGAGTCCTGAAGCTTGGGCCTTATTAGCTGCATGGTAAATCCTTTTGTAATTGGAACTCTAGGTCTGTAGTCACACACCTTGCACTTATTAGTCCAAAACATAAAGCTGACTTGAGATGGAGTAGTAGAAAAAACGCAGCCTCGGGGTCCTGCATTTGTCAGCTTGATTTAAGAGCACAGCTTGTAAAGTCCCAGAGCTCCCTTGGCAAATGCGAACGGGTGTTTTGGTTTGGGGGTAGTGAGCAGACAATGGCTACAATGGAAGAACCGCAAGTGGGGAGGAGACTCCTCCCTCAGCCTCCCCTCAGCAGCAGAGAGCTCAGGGCCACAGAAACTAAATGAGTCATTTTAACTCACAGGTAGTTGGTGGCAGAGCCAGCCTCAGGAGGGACTCAAGGTCTCTAACTCTCACCAAGGTTCTTTCCTGTATCTCATGCTGCCCCATCTCTGTGACTTTGGTTTTGACTGTCAACCAACCAAACTTATAATTTTCCTCTTTAGAGAAAAGAAAATTTAAGTCCCTATAGATTATTCGAACCTATAGCAACTTTTTTTTCCTGAATGCTTCATAGTTAATGTTCTACCACTCATTTTTTAATTAACTGTATCCTTGGTGTGCTTATTGCATTTTTCTGTATTTTTATATTGTTTTTATTTGTTTATGCCATTGCCTCTCAATCCAAACTGCAAGCTCAGTCTGAGGACAAAGTACCTCCTTTGTCTCCCACAGCATAGTTTAGCTTTTTGCATATGGTGCATTCATAATGAGTAGTTTTTGATCCTTAAAAACTCTCTATGAATTTTCTAATAATTTTGTCACTTTATTGGCCAGAATATTGTGTTTAACTAGTATTGTGGTTAACTCTGGATTTCCCCTTTTCCCTTCCTGTCTAAATTCTAGGTTAATATACTCAAACCAAATGATATCTCCCTCTTGCTATTTCAGCCTTTTCTACAAAACCCCTACAGAATTAATCACACCCTCCTGTTTCCCCAAAGCACTTTGATTTCACTATTATAAGGCCTTTTCATGTTATATCATAATTAGTTATGCATGTGTCTGCATCTCAAACAAGTGTGTTGGCTGTTTTGTGTCTTGTTGTTTCAGCCCCTAAAAAAATGCCTGTAAATTTGTACTGAGCTGATTTAGTTTGAAGTATCCTGACTTCAAATTCAGACTGCATTAACTAGGGCATCCTGAATATACCATGAGAAGACAACATCTGGAAACTAGGCTCTGTGCTTTCCTTCCTTTTAATTACTCTGAACACACAGCAGGCAAAATCAGCTGCACAGCCCAAAGTTGTGATGAATGGCCTCGACTGTGTGCGCGGCTTCGCAATCCTCAAGGTACTTCTCTGAGTGTCTTGTATGTGGTAGGTGTTTAACAAATATTTGGGGGTTAAATGAGTTAATGAAAACAGTGGATATGATGATGATAATCAGTCACTTTATTTTCAGTCAATTTATTTCTGAATTTCTACTAACTATACAGGACCCCACCAGCATGGTTTTACAGTCCTCTCTAAGAGTCTGAGATTTACTGTCACCAGAAGCAATTTGGCAATCTGTCCTGTAGGGCTAATACCCTATCTGGATTCTTGCAGTACCACCCAATGGGAAAAGTCTATTTTACATTAAATTTTGCTAAAATGTAAGGTGTATTATACAGTTTAGCTGATTTCCAAGAGTGACTATTCAAGATTCAACAAGTGATCCTTAATTGCTCTGAAAGAGATGTGTATATCATCAGTTAGAACAACCTAATTGCTGCAGCTATGCCTGTTTCAGTCTGAGAGGGGAAAAAAATAAGGAAAGAAAACAAAGTACTTTCCAGGTGCTTGGAAAATTGTTAAATAAGTAAGCTTGTCACGACTCTTCCTCTGTGACATACCACCCCTCACCCATCGCCGTTGGAGCTCGCAGATTGAATCTGAGTAAGTGATTCTTACCGTATGGTAGTAGGTATTTGTTAGATAATGTGAAATACACTATTTCTCAAAGGTTTACATTTTGATACTGAATGAAGCCAAAAAATAAAGTTCTAATTGTAGAATTTCAGGAATCATCGATCTATGTTGGGAGCCAAAGAGGAAGGCAGCAGGGATGGGTAGAGGTAGAATAGGTATATTCTAGGCTTCTCCAACTCCACATATAGCTGCTTCTGTCCAGAAGACAGGAGGAAGATAATTACTGGGTCTAGAATATAAATCTAGCAGGATCTCAGAGGATTTGGCTGCACTTTCAGCAGAAGTTACTAGCCTGTGGTTCTTTTCCAACAAAATCTATAGTCCTCGTTCTCTCTGTACAGTTTTCTATTCACAAAACAAAGACAAATTTGGTGAATTTGAAGGGAAATAGATAAAGACAAATTGCAAAGTTCTGTGCGAGAGACAAGGAAAATGGAGATAAAACCCAAGCCTTTCAGTGTCACTTCTATAAAACTAGTCATACTTTGGTCATACATAAAACCTCTCTGCCTTATAATAAGTACTACTTTATGAATGTGCTCCCACATCCTAACATATCAGTACTGACAGATAAGAAATGTGAGAAAACTGGAATATATGTTAGTTTATGTCTAATTGGAACCAGTGATGACATGAGTTGAAAGCAACTCACCCACCTCCTTGATCTTCTGTCAGGTGTTTTCCCTTTATAAACTTCACATATTTTTGTTTCACTCTGTTTCATTTGATTGTGGCAATCTACTCATCGCTGGATCATTAGTTACATATTAAGATCATTAGATCATATTTAGTGATGGAAAAGAACGCACTTTACTTTTATCTTTATTACGGTATTACTTACATATACATAGAACTCTCAAAAGTAAATGTATCCCTGAGTCTCATCATCAGATAAAGACGGAAGATCATTTATGGTTAGTTAATCAGAATGTAAAACTGTTAGAACTTTGCTTTATGTCCTTTAGTTTTAAACTCATAACATCATAAATAATCATAAACATTCAGAGTTAGGAGAGGCCTGGAGACCTTGTAGCTCCGATGTTATGCATGAGGAAACCAATGCCAAGAAGAAGGAATGATCACCCAGCTCCTCTGACTCCAGGCTCACTGCCCTCCACAATACAGCACCCTGCCATAGAGACTTTCCTTGAAGCAAAAAGAAAAAAAGAAAAAAATCAGCTATTTTTCAAAACCTTTCCAAGCCAGAATCTTAAGGTTATATTTACTTAGCTGGGTTGGGGTGTGGTGAATAATTAAATTCAGCAGGAATGCACTTCAAAATAAAAATAAAAACACAGCCCAACCCCTTTGGCTCAAGTCCTGAGACCTCAGAAAAGAAAACCTCCTTGACTATGAACATTTGCTAGAGGTTAGAAAGCCTTTCTGTGCCTGATACAGGACTCCACATAGCCATTGCAGAAAGGGGGGTGGGTTTATAGTCAAATAAACGACTCTTTGTTTTTTAATTTTTAAAATTTTTAACAATGTTCTTACATCAACAAACATCCCCAAGGAAGGATTTTAGGAAAAATAAACAACTTTCATCATCATATAACTTACATCATATAAGAAAAAAAAGTCATCTTAAACTTTGCTTTTCTTAATAACTCATACCACCACCACTGCACCCTTAGAGCATACTTTAGATACAGTGTATTCTTCTAAGACAATGGGAGAGCAGGTGGGGGAGGAGGAGCGATTCTTATGATACCTACTCAAGGCATGCCTTATTTGTATAAAAATGATGAAACCAAGAAAAATATGCCCTCTTGTGGTTTATTTGTTCTAGTTCACAAATTATCAACAGTTCTCTATTATTTCCTGAAACTCAAACATACCTATATTCCAAGTGGAATTAAACTATTTCTTTGTGCAATAACTGGAGAGAACAGGTCCATGCACACCGCAGGATGGCATTCCAAGACTTCTGCTTTGTTCAAGGTCATAAGCAGCTGCCTAGCCACAACAAAATCAGTATCCCTAAAAACGGGGAAGATTTTCCAAAATAACCCACAGATTCTTACGGATATTATAAAAA